GATTTCAAACAACATGCTGAAACATTGTGGAATGGTTTTCTAGCCCGGCTTAAACTAAAAGGAGTCTCAGTGGAGACTCTCCACTGAGAATGTAATTTAGTTCATTTAGAACTGTGGTTCCTGTAAACTGTCCTGCGACAATTATATATAGATATATAATACTGCAACCCAATTTGGACCCCAATTGTCCACTGAATTCGATATTTGAAGACGGCGTGCAACTTTCTCCAAGAACTGGGCCGTCAAAGGGGTCCTTGGCATAACGTTTGGGAACCCCTGTCTTATTGCACCTTTTTTTGGTCACTTTTTATATTCTGGTTCTTGTCAAAGAGAACACACTTAGTGACTGTTATCTTCTCACTCACGGGCTGTGCTAGTTTTTACTCTAAGCCGTGTGTACATAGAGACTGCCATTGTAGTTGTGCTAAGGTGACAATGTCCTGGTGCTTGTCAGTGCTGCTGTTGATGTTTTCTTTGGTGTAAGTAAGACCTTTCAGAGATGCTCGAGTTACTACGAGCTCTGAGTTCTTGGTCACAGAAAAAATAAAAGACTTTTGGCAGCTGTTTACTACACTGTGTTTGATTCTGTGTTTTCATTCATTTGGAAACTAATAAGGTGAAGTAACTGTCTGAACAGTAAGAGCCTTACTACTGAGATACACATTTGCTACCTTGGACCATATTGTGTTCAGTGAAATTAAAACATGACTTATTGTTGAGGTCAAATATGAAAGACATCTGCAAGGCAGTTTCACTGAAAATACCACTATTTAAAAGGGAATTAAACTGATTACATTACATTAAGATGTAAACAGTCACCAGATGTCTTAAGTATTTAACATGTCTAAAAGCTCCCTCACAGAAAACTGTGACAAATGGATATATTACTTGTTGTCTGAGACAGTGTTTAATGACAGCTTGTTTTGGGATAAGCTTTAGGCTTTAAATTTCTTTTTAAAAACAGAAAGTAACATGCACTGTGAGGCAAAATAGTACCCAAAGAAAACATTATTATATATATATATATATATATATATAAGGTTATATTTTTTTTCCCAATATAATAAATTCAGCAAAGAAACAGTAATTGTGCATTCAAGTGTGCAGACATTCTCTGTAGAGGGTGTGTTAACTTATTTTCACTTAGAAAATCAATATAACGTCATTTAACCAGGGGCACTTAAACTCAACATTACATATAAAAACTCAGAAGGCGTGTGGGTTCATTGATGGTTTTGGATAGTATATAAAATGGTTACATTTGCAGTGTAGCCACTGTGACCCCTGGTTCCTATCATCACCACTGTAAAGAAAACCTGAGTCTCCAAGTTTCTCTCTAGTGAACCACTTCATATCAATTCATTCTGAATGACTCTGTTTACATCTGAGTGGTTGAATTATACAGACATTTTGAAAAATTGGTGGAATTCACCTTTAACCTCTTGTAATAGACTAGCTATGTAAGTAAATTAAATTACAAACGGTACCAACAGGAACAAGAGGAGGAGAACAAAACCCTTGCATGCATATTGCTATATGTATATACAATACATAAATTACATGTATTCATCATGACTTCATAGAACTAAATGCTGGTCCAGCACAGCGGCCACCAACCCTGGTCCTGGAGATCAGCCTTCCTGCAGAGTCTCATTGCAACCCCAGTCTGCCACACCTGCTCCAGCTAATGAACATCCTCAGAAACACCTGATGGGTTGAATCAGATGCATTCGTTGTAGCTCGGGGGAAGTGGAGGGGCAGCATGTTAGACGCAGGCTGGAAACTAAACTCTGCAAGACAGCAGATCTACAGGAGGGTTGGTGACCAGTGGTCCAGCATATCATCTAGGTATCAATGCTGCTTTTACATTTTCCAGTTACGAGATGTTGCCTCAGTGCATGCTACGCAATCTGGCATTGCTAATGGTCAACCCCCTATAGGCCAGTGTTTCCGTATCCAGGCTTCTGATTGGCCATGAGACCCATCATTCATTCTGCACTGCGCAGATAGCATGTAAACAAACATGGCCACCAGAGCTGCAGATACTATAGACAGCACAGCCGCTCTATTGTTGCTACTGGAATCAATATTTCTAGCATGAGAGCTGAACAGTTTGAAGCATTGTGTTCTTTTATGAAGGGGAGGTTTTGTCCGGCCACCTATTCTGCCCTTTCAGCCCCACCGCAGCGGTAAAGCGTTTGAATAGAATTACTAGACTTTAATACAAGCCAACCGTCAGGCAAATAGACGGTGGGTCTGCTCTGCTTTTGCAGCTATTGTTCTATTTTACAGCACCATCTAGCGTTTACTGAAAGTAGTGCAGCAATAACAAGACATTTAGTACCTTCGTTATCAATTAAAAGAATGAAGCAGGCTCAGGATTGGACTGTTGTGCTTTATTTGGCAGCAGACATACAAATGAACAAAGAGCATGTTTGAGCTGTTCTTGTTGCCAGTCTGAGACCAAGCAGTGTTTCTCAGCTAGCAGGAGTGAAAACAGTAAAGAGGCACATCCCAAACAAAACCCATGTAACATATTCAGTGTAAGGTAACCTTCCATTTTTACACACAGTTGATCATGAGCAAAAAGAAAAACAAGACACAGGACACTTGAAGTGTAACTTTGAAGGGGTAACAGTTTGGAAGTGTAGCTTCATAGTCTCAGAACCGGTGAAGCTTCAGTGATTCATTAACCAACCACACCAAATTCTACTCGTAACTAGTTCAAAATAATGCATGATGTATAACTAATTTTCAATTTTAAAGTAATTTTAGTATGGAAGCCATTTCCACCAGGTAGAGGAGGGGAAAAACAGCTTGTTTTTTTCTCCTTCTCCATTTCTGTCAGCAGTAGGTCAAAATATTGACGTAGTCTCATCCCATTTCACCCCTCGCCCCTACCACTGAGCCCTTAGCCCTCGGGCGTTCACGTCTAGGGGTAGGGCGTCCCAATTTTTGTTTTCAGATAGAGGGTAGGGCGAGGTATTAGGACTACAGGGCCCTCCAAATGGAGTGTTATGAGAAAAAAAAAACAAAAAAAAAGAACAGCAAGATGGCTGCCAAAGCGATCAAAGAAACCCACAAATGTATTTTCTCTGTTAAAATTATGATAACCATTATATTATCTTTATCTTCTTCATCTTATCGTTTCAATGTATTATGGTCCCTTACTTTATAACAACCATAAAAATCGCTAGTAGTATGTTGATGTCTCGTTAGCTAGCTAGCTACATTTTCTGTTCCACCTTAAATGGTGCAGCAGTTACATTCTGGTGCCCGAGACGTCAGAGCTGCTGCTCCAATTTAAACAAGAAGCTGGTGAATAGCTGACTTCAGCTTCATATCACTGAAGAATCAGCAGCGATGTTGCTGAACTTTACCCTTCTCTGCTATCACTGGCAGGGTCATCTTCAGACCACCGCTAGTAGCCTGTTAATGAAGTAATGTTCTTTTTTATTTGAGGGTTCCCCATTTTGTAGGGGATGATTTCAACCACTACCCCTTGTTACTCAGTTCCAAAGGGGCAAAGTAACACTCAAAACAGGGGTGGGGTAAAAATAAGAAATAGGATTGGGCCTTAATATGTCAGAATAACAATTTCACAAATTATTCATTTAGTATCTCAAAATAATTACATTTTTTTCAAAATTTTGAATTAGTACCTTAAAATACGTATTTTACAAAATATTGACTTCATATTGATATTTTGAGATAAAAAGTCAATAATTTGACACACTGCTGCTAGAAACAGAAAAAGGCAAAAACAAAACAGCAATTTCATACTTCTCTATCTTGTGGAAATGGGATTTATTTTTGTCAGGCATTGCAAACATGAAAGAAAGGAGCATTTATTGGATAAATATCATTCCTGCTGCATATAGAGAGATCTTGAGACAGAAAACAAGACAAAACATCAGAAAACCACCACCTCCATACAGCCTCCATACAAGGGCTTTTAAAGAACAAATCTGACAGTGTAATTTGAAATAAAGCAACACCGTGCAATAGAGCAGCTTTGAAGCAAAAGCCGTTAGTGTTACACAAATATTGTGTACTGACAGAAAAACACCTGCCGGCCCAAGCCGTTAACTACTGTTAGCCTATACTTCTATTACCCTAACTATTATTACACACTTTATTAAAATATGCATCTGTATATTTCTACTTACAACATGAAAAAAATCCATGACAGTGTCTCTTTGTTAGAACAAAATCTAGTTGGAATGTAATAAAAATGAACGAGAACTCACAGGAACAAATTTGACAAGATATCTAACACAAATCTGGGGGAGATGAGAAATCATCGCAACCTAGCTGTGTGTAGTGCTTTTACATTATGACTTTTATATGCTTTTTAATTGCCAATCCTTGTATTGATTTGTTGGGGCAGCATTTTTGGCCATGATGAAGCACTAAAGGTGTAACAGTAGAACAGAGCAGTTCCTGCAGACCAGGGTTCTTGGCGTCTGGCTGTGGACGGCCGATATCCAGCTCGGTTTGCTAATTTGCCTGTTCAAACACACCTACTGAGGTGTAAGCCTGGCAATTAACAGATAAGTTGAATCAGGTGTGACTGAACAGGGAAATTGCACAATTGTGTTGGACACTGGCCCTCCAGGACCAGAACTGAAGAACCCTGCTGTAGACCAACCAGCCAATAAATACGTTCCCTCTATTCTAGCTTCAAACACACCTGAGCTCCTTCAGTTTTATGCTGACTTTTGATTACATGGTACAAGTGAGTTGAAAGCTGAGATAGAATACAAATATGAAACACCATCAGTCTTAACAGGCCAGCAACAGTGGGAGTGAAATGTCACAACCTTCCAAATTCACAGCCATTAAGTGAAATAAAATGACAAGACTTTTATGACACTGAGTCTCCAGCATTGGTGAGTGTACTCCAAGCAGAGTAAGATGACTGATCTACCAAGGAGCTACATTTAAAATAAACACAGAGTCCACTACTATTGTTGATGAACTTTCGCATTCTTGTTGGATTTTACAGTAACAAGACACATTAAAGACTCCTCGAAAAGCTTAGTTGTTTACAAACAACTACTGGAGCTTTGCAAGCAGATGATGGCTAGAAACTCTCATTTAATGTTGCCAACTAGTTCATATTTATCTTTCTACAAAACTGAAGCATAAACAATAGCACATGTAACTTTAACTGTTTTTTACGTTTTGAGCATTGAAACTTCTGTTACGTCACTATGGATATCTTTGTGGAGCATTAGATAGCATTAGCCAGCAGACTGGACATATAGTCATATGCATAAGTTTGGCTGTCCCCGGTCACATGTCATGTTTTGTTGATTTTCTGAGTGGAAGATAAGTTAACACAGCCTCTACAGAGAACACACTTCTGCACACTTTTAATGCACAATTACAGTTTTATTTGCTGAATTTAACATATTGAGGAAAAAATCAAACAGAAAATGTGGACTGTACAAAAGTTATTTTATACATTTTACATTTTGTTTTACTTTTTTCCAATATGTTAAACTCATGCAAAAAAAGATACTTCAGTGCATTCCCTGTAGAGGATGTAAACTAATTTTCACTTAGAAAATCAATAAAACATAATTTTACCAGCAAAGTTCAAACTTTTGCATACAACTAAGTTTATACAAAGTTCTCGAAGCTCATGCTGTCATACTAGAATTTTGGCATTTATGAGGATCAACGACATACAATGTCAGAATCTAAATGGTAAACCTACAGCACAATAAAAAAAAATATCTTAACTTTTCGACTCTTTGTTTTCTCTATGAGGTCCTTACCTCTGAATGATTTACTAGTTTTGCAACATTGAAGGAAATATAATAAGAAAATTCATCTATAGAAACATATCACATCTGACCTTCCAATTTTAGCCTCACTGTCCATCTTACACAGCAAAACTACATTAAAAGGTCATTCGTCAGGCCAGGGCAGCAGTGTAGACCCCAACCCCCTAGTTACTTGACCCAATAAAGAGAACATTGACCCCAAGGTATCAGCTGAGCCTAATTTGTGCATGTGCATGTGGGTGTGAACTAACCAGTTACTACTGCCTGAGGGTCAGGGATCAGAGGCCAGGCACACAGCTTGTGTGAAGTGCTAGAGAGACATGAGAAACATGCTGCCACTCATAAGTCAATGTCCAACTCCATTTGACGGCCAGTGAAGCAAAGTAGTCATCAAGCTCACCTCCAGTGTAGGGCTACCACGCATGGTCTGAAGATGCTCAAGACTCATGTAAACATTCAGAAAGACGTTACAGCAACTAATGGAACCTACCTCTCAGTGAACTCATGCAGTGATGAAGGCAGAGGAGCTTTGAGAAAACTGCTATATATGCATGTCCCTCATAGAGTATTTCTGTCTAAATATTTTATATGTTCACCAACTTGGCATGAACTATATACTAGAAACGTAATGTCTCTAACAGACCGTTTAATGCACTTGAAGAAAAAGAACCAGGGTGTGGAGCTTTTGTTTTGGTTTTCAGTTATCACAGGATACAGAGAAGCGAGGAGTGAAGGGGGAAAAGGGAGGAGGAAAGGAAGAGTGGAAGAGGTTTGCCATTAAGGATCAGCGGAGTGAGATCAGTGGCGGTTCCTCAATGTAGTTCTGGGTCCTGGAGGGTCGTCCCCTCTGGCTGCTCCACCGCGGGCTCTGCATTAGGTGTTGAGTTTTTTGAAACGTCCCCAAGCTCGCTTGTTGATGGTGTGGGACTCATCTTGGTCTGCAGGATCAATTATAAAAACTTCACGGACACTGTCTCAGAAATAATATATAATATATTGCCTGTCAAAAGTTTAGGTACATCACCTAAAACTGGCTTCTAGTAGATGAGTTAAAGATGATCTAGTAAATGTGCCTGTTTTCAATAACTCAAATGGGCAGTCCAGACTTCATCGCTAAATCTGTTGTAAACATACATCCTACTGCAGTGCAACAGCAATCACTAAAGCAAATTTTTTAAATTTAAAGACAAGGAAAAAACTACGATTGCTTTGGGGAGAATTTTTGAGTGGGTTGCTCTTATTTATTTTTATTAGCTGGTGAATGCAGAATGAAGGCAAATACACTATATGGCCAAAGGTATGTGGACACCCCTCCTAATTATTGAATTCAGGTGTTTAGGCCACTTTTCCACAAGACAGTTTGTGCAATTTCTGCCCTGCTAGATATGCCCAAGTCAACTGTAAGTGCTATTATGGCGAGATGGAAGCATCAGGGACCACAACAGCTCAATCACGAAGCAGTAGGCCACACAAACTCACAGGGCGGGGCCGCAGACTGCTGGAGCAAGTAGTGCAAAAAAATTGCCTGTCTCTGTTGCATCACCCACTGCAGAGTTCCAAACTGCATCTGGAAGCAACATCAGCACAAGAACTGTGCTTCAGGAGCTCCAGGAAATGTGGCTCCATAGTTGAGCAGCTGCACACAAGCCTAAGATCACTATGCATGATGCCAAGCGTCAACTTGAGTGTTGCAAAGCCTGCCACCACTGGACTCTGGAGCAATGGACACGATTATTCACTCCACAGGACACAAGTTTCACTTTTTGGCAGTCTGATGGACAAATCTAGGTTTGGTAGATGCCAGGAGAACATTACCCACCAGAAAGCATAGTGCCAACAGTAAAGTTTGGTGGAGGAGGCATAAAGGTCTGGGCCTGTTTTTCAGTGTTTGGGCCCCTTGGTTCCAGTGAGGGATAACGTTTATGCAACAGCATACAAAGATTTTAAACAATTATATGCTTCTAACTTTGTGGCCATAGTTTGGGAAAGGCCCTTTCCTGTTTCAGCATGACTGTGACCCTGTGCACAAAGCAAGGTCAATAAAGACACGGTTCAATGAGTTTGGTGTGGCCTGACCTCGACCCCCCCATATATATATATATATGCCCACGGTTTTGGATTGGGATGCCCAACAAGCTGAAAAGTGTGATGGTGCCCTGGTGTCCACATACTTAGTTCATGTTACTGCTTGGAAAGCAAATGTCTTATTGCAACTGTCTTTAAATCATCTTTGCTCATTTTTCACTTACCTTCAAGTTGTCCACTTTCTCTTCAAATGACTTGAAGGTGGGAGTATTCCTGCAAGGTATGGGACATGTAAGCTGTGACTGTAATAAACTTAGACTGAACATGGATTTCAAACTATGTGCCAAACATTTGGATGCCTCTGCTGCAGCCTCTAGTAACCTGTGTAATAGCTATGAGAGATGAAGAAACGTGGGAGAAGTATTCTAACAAGCTTTCACTCTGGAATAAGGTCCTTCCCAGCATGCACACCTGAGAGTGACAGTAAGTCCCTTACCTCATCACAGGCATGCTAGTTGAATGCTGTATGGATCGTATGCTATCGGTCAGCAGTAAGAAAGAGAAAAAAGAAGCGTTAGGCAAGTTAAGCAGGCTTTAGTAGCGAGTACGTGAGTCAAGAGAAGAGAAAGAGAGCCACACTGCATTACATTTAACTTTTTTTGCAATCAGGGGAAATACAGATGTTGATTAAGAACAAGCTTTGTGAGTAAGACTTTAATCCACAATGCGTTTGAGGCAACATTATCTGTACTTCTGACAGATTTTTTCCAGCACTGGGAAACTTCATTCTTCTGGTTTGAATAATCAGGTCAGATAGAATGAACTGGCAGTAAAGGGAAGGGCTTAAACGTCTTTGTCCAGAGGATCGTGCCTCAACTCTATGGCCAGTCACAGATTTAGAGGAAGATCAAACGTAACCCACGAGTTACACCACATTCAACAGGGTTATACTGAACTCATGCACACTGAAACACACACTACTGGAGTGTTGACAGAGATTCAGAGAAGAGGCTTTACTTTTGGAAAGCAGAACAAAATAGACAGAGTGTTGTGAAAAGTGGTACAATACTGTGCAAAAGTCAGAGACCACCCTTCACTTACTTAATTTCTGGACAAAACTGCCGTTAAGTAGAAAACATATTTAATGGAAAATTACACAGAAGCCTCACATACATGCAAAATGTGGTTTGACACTGTCTTGCTGAAATAAGCAAGGCCTTCCTTAAAAAAAGACGTCATCTGGATGGCAGTATATGTTGCTACAAAACCTGTATATATCATTTTCAGCATTAATGGTGCCTTCACAAATGTGCAAGTCCATGGGCACTAATGCACCCCCATACAATCACAGATGCTGGCTTTTGAACTGTGTACTGATAACAAGTCAGATGGCCCCTCTCCTTTTTAGTTTGGAGGATAAGGCATCTATGATTTCCAAAAACAAATGTCAAATTTTGATTTGTCAGACCACAGAACACTTTTCCACTTTGCCTCAGTCCATTTTAAATGAGCTTGGGCCCAGAGAAGGCAGCAGTGTTTACGGATCCTGTTAATATATGGTTTCTCCTTTGCGTTTTAGAGTTTTAACTTGCATTTGTGGCTGCAGTGATGTACTGTGGTCATAGACAGTGGTTTCATATGAAAAGTTCATAAGCAGTATCTCGGTTTTATGACTGGAAAGATGGGAGAACTAAAGTGGCAGTAAGGTGCACAAAAATAAAGAGCAAACAAATTACTGAAAGATACTGATGACTCATGTTTGAGGCTTTTCTGTCATTTTCTGTGGTGCCATTTTTCCTGATTTTTTTCCCTGACATTTAAAACTTGTACTTAACGGCTGTTTTGACTGGAAAGTAAATAAAAGGGTGGTCTCTGACTTTTGCACAGTAATGTGTATATATAGAGTAAACAATTTACTGTACAGCAGTTTCACATTACGTGTGTGCGACTGTGTATGTATGTCTGTCTGTCTGCCCTGCGATGGACTGGCGACCTGTCCAGGGTGTATCCTGCCTTCCGCCCAATGACAGCTGAGATAGGCTCCAGCACCCCACCGTGACCCAGAAGGATAAGCGGTTTAGATGATGTATGTATGTAGTTTCACATTACACTTGAGCCCTCAAACAGGTGATGATCTATAACATGCAAATGCTACAGTTATAGCAGACTAACAGTCCACAACTCAAACTTTAAAATACAAACATAGAAACTACAGCCATGCGCAAAACATGCTCTGACAAGATGCGGTGAAAGAGCATGCGCTGACATCAGCATGGTAAACATCAGGTGTTAAAGGAGTGTATAAATGTAAAAGGACAAGCAATGAGTTACATTGATGAAAGTAACCACATGCAAAAACATCAGTATTTATCACACTACTGATCAATTCTGCATTCAAAACGACTCAAAATGACTCAGTGAAGGTTATCTTACCTAAAGGAATTGGAAAATGACTGTAATCTGTAAATGTCACAGACTGCATTAGCAAACAGAAAACAGACTGAACTTCATCCAAATGTGAGGACCACTACTGCTGAGGCTCAATTAGTGAGGAATTATGCTCCATGCACAGTTGCCCTTGTTTTGTGCTCTGCATATCATAACATTTATGCCACACAGCAGTTAGAGGAACACCACAAACGGGTAGTAAACCTTATTATTTGTAAGAATTGCTTTCACCCATTTGTTATACGTTTGAGTGAGGGAAGAGAACAACAGTGGGCAGTTTAATGTCCCCTGTGGGTGGGCTGTATCTGCCTGTTCTGTCGTACCTGACATCCTCCAGCTTTCTGCTGATGGCTGAGCCCACACTGGAGAACGCTGCTGTGGCCTTCTGTCCTGCCTGGGACAGCGTCTCTGAGGTTCTTCTATACCTGCATAGACAATGTAGAAGACCCACAGATTTAGAACCACTGATATGGGACAAAGAGCATTTCATTCCAAATTCCTGCATTCCTGCATCAAGGAAAACTGAAGTGTCCTCACTTTTTTTGAAATAACAGAGTTTAATGTAATATGTAAACACACAAAAAAAAAATTCAAAACATACTCTTCACTCCCCAGTCTATGCAGTCCATATATGGAAACTAAGCTGCAAAGACCTGTTTTGAATTCACTCTTTTTGTGATGTGTAAAAAAAAACAAGATATTTACATTCAGTCTTTTCAGCCTACAGCACCAATCAACACTGAAGTTATGAGGAGCATTTCTGATTCAGACTACTTCTTGAATGAGATACAATACAGGGTGGCCAAACAGAACTGAGCTCATTTACATAGATTAGTCTTGGTAAAGCAGCAAAAGTACAGCAACAAAAATGTAAATGTTCAATTTTAAGGTTGGAAAATAGTCATGTAAAAATATTTTTCACTGTTTTTTGTATCTAAAACCACAAAATAAGTGGACCTCAATAAAAAAAAATTAAGAAAATGTAGGATATGGGCCCTTTTTTGAACAGACCTGGTTGCGAGTCGCACTCAGAAAACCAAACAAATCAAGGAAACAAATTCTAACCCTTAAACTCCTAGGGGTCCATATGTAGGCCTATTCTTCAATCTCTCACTTTAATCACTACAGTGCCAACATATTAGTGTTAGGCAGTACTGAAAAAAATAATGAACATCCCAATATTTTACAAAGACATGATGGTTTTTAATTTTGCATTCATAAAGTTAGTGAACCCAGGCTGCTGGTAAAGGAATGTCTAATAAACCAGTCACAGCTTCTTTTGATTGGACTGTTTTGTTTTCTTCTCTTTAAAGGATACCAAAGGGAATCTAGAATTGTATGTTTACTAGATAGAAATGGTTGCACTCATTACTGCTGTCTGAGCTTTATAGGAATTGCCAAACTATTCTTAGTAATTACAGAACAATTAATACTAACCCCATTGAATTACCAGGATGTGCAAGTTCAAATATCTATTTAATTTACTCTTTAATTTACAAGGGAATTCCACTGATTTCTCTTAGTTTATGCAAAATTTAATCTCTGAAATGATGAGTCAGAGTGGTTTGATGTGAAATGGTTCATTGGGGAGACCGATCTAGATTTCATTACAGTGGTGGGGATAAGACCCAGGGGTCGCAATGTCCACAATACAATAAAGCAATTTTATTGGCTGAGTTTTTATGTTAATAATGTTAATAATGACAAAACAGTTGTAAATCTGTAAACATAAGTTTTCTTTGAAGACTATTTGGCCTTATAATGCATTGTGTGCACCTTTGCTATGAGTGACTTTTGAAAAATATGTTCAAGCCAAAACTTTATCTTAGAACCATCTAAATCAATGTCTCAGGCATCAGGCAACACATTTGTAATTTCATGAAATAACTTTCTGTGATGTAGCTTTTAGCAGCATTAAACCCTCTGGATGTCTGGTTCCTATCACCACCTCTGTGAATGATTCAGGTAAGTTTCTCTACAATGAAGCACTTCAGATCAAATCTGTCTGAAGGGCTCTGTTTACACCTTAACCCTTCAATTATACAGGAAAAAACTTTTTTTTTAAAAATCAGTGAAATTTTCGTTAACAATATCTGAATCGGTTTGTATTGTAGTTTATTTAGTTATTATAGTTATTATAATTTAGTTATTATTATTTCTAGTTATAATTTATAATAGTTATAATTTAGTTATTATAATAAGCTTGAGAATTTAAGGGGTTAAAATTAATAAGCTCAAAGGGTTAAGACATGTAATGGCCTTCGTTCCTATCAGTTTGCATGCAGCCAGCTGAAGATGCAGCAGAACGCAGGCTGTGCAGCCCAGTGACAGATGGGACTGTTCCTATAAAGTGGCAGTAGGAAGAGCCCAAAGGGCACAGGTAGAGAGGAGGGCACGTACGCGGGGGAGGTGGTGACTTCCTGCCAGCTCTTACTCAGGTTCTGCCTGAGTTCATTGAGGGGGGTGATGCCCAGCTTCCGCTTGATCTCTGCCACCTGCTTCTCCTTCGAAGCTAGTACTTGAGAGAGAGTCTGGATCTCCTCCTCCACCTGCAGAGCACAGGAATCCAAAATTTACGATGAGTGAAAAAAAAAGATGGTAGGAGAGCACCTGACAGTAATTGCAAATACAAATAATTAATGCTGTTAATAACTCAGCGGGGTGGATTTCTCTTCACGGCCTAACATCTAAACAATGACCCTCAAAAATTTTAATTAGTACAATATCTGAGGGAAGCAAACTGTGCACTTCTTGTAAACTGGGCTTGTTCAACCTTCTGAAATCCATAAATGGACTACAAAGCTGCCCAAAGGCCTCAACATTACAATGCACACTGCCAATTACTCACAGCTAGGTCAGTAAGAGGGATTGACATTGGGTTAGGCTCTCAGAGTGACCTTGAAACCATGCATGTTATAACCTCTTGTTACTAGCTAAAGTCCTCAACCTATTTCCCCATTTAAAGGAAAGAAAAACAGAATGTATAATATGCAGTCTGAGACACTGCTGAGGACTGTTAACCTTGGCCAGTTCATTGCGTAACTCCTCTTGTTCCTCTTCAGTAAGGGCAGTGCTGGAGACAGGCTGTTCAACTGTGGTTACAGCATCCTCACCCACTTCTGGGATGGAGTCTGGTCTCTGAGTACCTGCAGGGACATATATAAACCAGATGCAGTTAGGCTCCATCTGATGAGCTGTAGGAACAGCATGAACCACTTACGAACAGATGAGATTTTTTAGGCCTCCTTTAAACAAAAGGAATAGACTGCATAAGTTAATTTGATGGGAGGCAAATGTATACTTCAACTGGTTGTACTGGACAACTATAACATTGAAAATCAGGCCTCAAGCTCCCTGAAGTAGAGCAAAAATACTAAAGGAAGTGAGGGGACAGGCCTTGGACATGAGAGGCTTGAGGCAGGCACAATAAGATTAAAAAGATGGCCTTCGAATGATGGACAGCAGCCCAAGGACATATATAAACACAGTGGGATAGCACATGCTTTTTGAGTCTTGGATTGTACTGTCAATCATGGATACTCCACTGACATGGCCACTGGAAAAGCAACATAAATAAGAAAAATCCAGGATGGAGTCTTTTAGATGGTTGACAGCCAGGAAAGAAAAAGAAAAAAAGAAAAAGAGAGAAAAAAAAACAAGGAAACGACAGCACTGTCAATCAAAGTGACTAGAGGATAAGACTGGCAGCAGCCATTGCACATTTAATAAATAATAAAAAAAAAGGTTTTTAAGCTGGTAGAATGATGTAATTTGTAATGTGATTATTTTCTTAAAATATGTTGTGAAATAACATTTAAATACTATCATTGCAGCGTATGGGATACTTCTGCACTGGCTGTGTCAGTAGTATAAAACAAAAACACAGTTTAACATTTTTAAATGGAACATGGAACAGTTGTAGCTTTTCTTTTTACCAATGTGCACGCAAAAATAAGTACATCCATTTTTGGAGTACACAAATTATTAGTATTATTTTCTATTTTTACTCTTATTTGTATTATAGATATATTTTGTTAGTTAACCCCAGATTGTCTTTTTTTCCAGGTTGATAAACTAGTCCACTCACATTTACACAGACTCCTTCCAGACATGAGTTTGACTGTGCAGATACAAACTCTCTGTAAAATTTGCTAATTTTACTATCAGATTTAATCGTATGCAACTTTGATAAATAAGGGCCACTGTGATATTATGCTTTATTTGATGTTTGTACAGCTGCTTTAGTGTTATTTATTGGTCTGAACACCTTCACAGCTCATGATAAAGGTTTCATACTATGGTGTCCGCCACAGGCCGCACTGCCATGAGGAGTTCAGATGGTGCGGCCATGCAAAGTGGCTCTCGAAGTCACCACACTCCCCATTGAGAAAGGGACTAATATTGTTGCTGGTGTTGATGATTTTATCAGTGTGGTCATGTTGCTTATTACAAGTTGTGTCTGAGGAGGGTGGGGTTTGCAGTTAACTAGTGGTTAGAAGTGTCTACCCTCATCAAATGTCACATCCTCCCACATTATCCCCTCCCTGTGTTCTGTGTTGAGGTTAACACTAGCCTGGCCATTTCTTGCTGCCGTTGAAGTACCTGTTCAAAATAGAAGATCATTTGCCTGTATGTGCAATGTTTTCTGTGTCTTATTCTATGCCGATGCTACAATACTTTTAAACTCAATTTGCTACCTGCAGTACCAAAGGTCTACCACCTAGCCAAAAAAAAACACCTGGGAAACCCAGAGACTTGATGCCCATTAAGACAAGACAGGGTGGCAGAAGCGAACGAAGACTGACTATTATAAACACTATTATGAACACACACACACACACACACCAAAAATCCCCAAAATGTATACCCACCAACATATTATTGGTACAAAAAATGACATTCAGAACACTACAAACGCATACATGTGCTGTCTTATGCATAATGTCTTTCCTCAATATGATATTGTGATAAACTGAGATAAAAGGTTGAGTAATTAATGTGATATTACATTTTATATTGGCACATGCCTACTTATTGCTCATGACTACAGTGATGAAGACCTATGATATCCCTAAGTTTCCCACCCTGAACTCCCACCACATTCCATAAATTCTCCTTCATGAGCAACCTCTACCTCCCATTTCCAGTGAGCAGAGGAGGAAGGAGAAACAGAGAAGTGTGAAGAGCCATCACAAATTGTGCATGCAATTAAAGTTATGCCATACAATTTGGCAAAACTGAAGAGGATGCTCAGCTTTTGTTAGCTTCTTGTGAGGTATATTTCAGGACAAACTGGGGGTGCAACATCCCACTTTATCTGACTCAAACAGCAATTACCAAATTTTAATGACAAGTATAGTCCGCCCATATTTTGTCTCAATATAAGAGTAACTTTAAACAGTCAAGGCCTTACACATTTTTGAACATTTTCATTCATTGAGTCAGTACGTTAAGTCCAGTTTCTTAAGAGCTTGCATTCGGTCGCTCTTTTTTAAATCCTCTGTTCAGCAAGACACACCTTTTTGGTAACTCACTACAATGACCCAGTTTAGTGCAGGCACTGTGTCTCCTCCCTGCTTATTCCCACTGCAGTGCAGTTGAGATCAAGCCTGGCTCATAGCTCTACTGAAACACACTCACATGCAAGAGCTTGTTCCTCAAACTGTTGTCCTCCAACTGATTTGAAAGGACTTACAACAGTATTTCCTGTAACGGAATAGTCAACAAATGTAAAGCATTTAGCTTTCATCATCATCAGGCCTTACAAATAAAAGCTTTAGGCTTTCCCTTTGTTGAACTGCAGAGCGGTATGGTTAGCATCCTTTGCTGGAAACCCTCACCCATTAGGTAAATTCAAAGTAAGACTATGTAAACAAAAAAGTGGTGACAAATGTCACGAGAGTAATGTAATTGCATCTCATTAAAAACAAATGAACTTTTCAGCTTGAAAGTAGGGCAACAATCATCAAAAAAGCAAATTACTATTGATTAATTTCATAATATATTAGACTATGTTCACCAGAGAAAATCTTTATGCAGACCTCCTGCTCTGCAATCTGGAAAACATTAAGCCTTTATACCATACAGTATTAAATATTACTAAGTTCAATATTTCATGAATATAAAGTACACTGTGTATGCACTAAAAAATGAAAATGTTCCACACGGCCCAAAGGTATTATTTGCTTTGTTTTGATTTTCAATCCTGCTCCTTTAAAGTCTCCCAATGGACTAATACCAGGAGGACACAGATCTAAACATTAAAAAAGAATCTTGTGGCCAAAGTTAAGAACTGTGGCCAAGAATTATAGAAACATGTTAATCATATATACACTGTATTTGCAGTTAACAAGTATCCATCAGTATGAAAAACCATTCCCCCATGTCTATCATTTCTCCACCATTATACCAATCAAACCAGGAAATAATGCGAGAAAGTTTGTTTTCCACGATTTAGTCAGCCAGATCAAAGATTTTTAACATTCAACTATCCTGCCCCACCTCCATCTTCACCAGGCTTTGATAAATCAGCCCTGAGGTTTGTTACTGGGATCTCTTAAGACTGCTGCCATATAATAACGCTTGTGTTGACAGCTGCGGATGTGGTTTCCAATATTTCTTTTTCTAAAGGAGTTACAATCAGTAAACAATGAATTTGTCTGCCTGCTGAGAAACTGATGACATGCTTAACAGAACATCACACCCATATCAAAATCATGTTCAAGCCACAGCCACACAAATTGTCAAGTCAACTCTAAACTGCTGAATCCATTTTTTGTAGTAATCAATTCTTTGTCATTGTCAGCAATGCCACTGACAGTAAAGTAGTATTTTAATATCTCAGGCATCACAGAAAGGCTACGACGAGTTCTAGAATGAAGCTGTCACTTTTTGTCTCGCTATCTACTGCAGCGGTAACGTTCACATTACAGTTGCCAACTTATTCGTCAAATCAGGCCACAGGATCTGCATTTGTAGTAGCCAAAATGTGAAATGTTACAGCCAGGGGCACAGAGCAATAGGCAATGTCAACCGCTGCTACTATGCATAAGTATCAAGTTTTATTAAAATGAAAATATAGATTCCAATGCTTTTTACACCTCCACCTCTTCCAATGTAAAGCTGGCCAATTCATTCATTCATTCATTCATATATTCAGTTAGTCATACTTTCTTTCTTGGAATGTATAATTGCATGCAATGTGCGGAAGAACATTTTGTCACATCGGTTGCGTTTCAGAAGTCTTCCCCGAGCCAATAAATCCGATGATTGTTAGGGCGTTGAAAGACTATTCAAAGATAACTCAGTCAAAACTTGGTAAATGACGTGAACTATCTATTATCGTCATTATCACTGGTATGATGCAGTGTTACTTTCATCAGTATAATACTGATTTTAAATTTGAGACCTAAACATGGAGCTGGATCTTCTTTTTGAGTCTGCACTGTTAATGCAAAAAAGATCTAAAGATCGGGTCCAAAAAACTCCCACAAAATCAGACCTGATGCCTCAGACTTCTAAATATTATTTCAGGTTTTACAGAGTGACTTGCAGTAGCGCACACAATATATTTTAACTTTTTTTTTTCTCTCCTGACTCAGTAATGCTACTTCTCTCAGTTTTAACAAAAACAACTGAAATAATGCGGCTTTAACTTTAAATCATCTCCGTTGTCAGAAAATCTGTGATAACATGTTCAGAAAACACACAAAAATCCAATTTCAAACAAATGTTTAACTGAACATACTTAAATTAAAATATGAATCCTAAGTTGTGAGCTGGTGCTTTAGATGAACCTCCTTTTCAGACATGGGTTTGCCCAATAACTAGATTAAAAATAGCTGCCAGTATCATGAGTCACTCTTTAAAAAACATTTCAACTAATTTAATGCACCATATCCATTCGCTGGCAAAAGCAGTGACCTCCCTCTAATTAGCATTTAAATTGTATTATGTATTTGGTAGCTTGCTGTTTTGTATCTGCTCATATAAAGAGAATCACATTCTCTTTAGAATCTGTAAGAGGCATGTAGGCCTATAATTTGGACACCCACAAGGTGAGTGACGTCAACTGAAAAACTTGTAGTAAGTGGTCCTCTCCTGCGGCTTTACTAGGGCATTAAAGGCGGCTGAAGAGGCAGTTCTTGTGTGGGCCATGATGAGTGCAGCCCTTAGAAGAACAGTAATGCCACCTGGCTGTCACTTGTACCTGACAGGACCTGACAGCAGCAGACTGCAGTCAACCTGCTACCCGTTTATTCTACTCAGTGGCAGCACTTTGTCTGTAAACCTCCCATGACATGCCCAAACTTCCTCAGCAGCTAACTTCTTGTCCCTCAACAACTGAGGAATGAATATAATTTAAAACTTTAACATTGTTAACATACAAAAATTGTTAACATACAAAAATTAAATTTTCCACAATATAAGCCCTTCAGAGAAATGACTGTCAAAAAGCTGGTTTTGCAAACAATAAACGAAAGAGAACAGCCACTAGAGAAACTTTCACTTCCGCTCATGATCAGCAACATTGGTCTTCTGACTATTCCTTTAAAAGGCCTACACTGTGGTATGTGAATGCTACTTGCTGCCAATTAGCATGACTGCATTTGCATAATGAACTCCTTGTAACTTCAACATGAATGGACGGGGCTTAAATGTTGTCAGTTGAAAAGGTGGACATATGTAAATGTGTTTTTTTGGGACCAAAACAATAAATTCAAAGCTGTTTTTGCTTTATTGCTTCATTGTTTTTAAATACATCAGATCTGTTTAAAACCACAGTGGCTATTCACTTTCTTTCACTGTTAGTAACAGCAAGTAGCTTTCATTTGTTGTTAGTATGTTTGGTTAAGCTACTCCTTTAAACTCTCCATCGTACACACCAGTCCACACCTAACCTCTATGCTACACACACACACACACACACACACAAACACACGTTACCTCTGGACAACAGCGTGGGTGAGCTAGGTGGAGTGAAGTTCTCCTTAGGGGACAGGTAAAGGTAGCTGGTGTTAACCCCTTGCTCAAAATTGAAAGGAGACTTGTATTCGTCCACAGGGTCCATTATGCCAACACTCAGGAATCTTCCACAATGATGACTGCATGTGATTGGCCATGTGCTGCTGTTGCTCCTGTTCACTGCATTATTTTGTCCTATCTTCTTCCTCCGGCTCTCAGAATGTGTGCGTGTGTGTGATTTAGATGCTGCAGTGCTAGATAGCCCACCGTTCCCTGGGCTGCTGTTGGCTCACATGACAAGCAGGCCAAGGCAGCAGTAAGCGTCACGTTAATGAGTTACCTCTTTCAGCACATTGCTTCAGTCACGAGTGGTGGCTTCCAGCTGTAATCTTAATGGTAGCTGGTGGAACTGCAGCCATTCCCAGCAGAATGAAGCTTGTGCGCAAAATCAGCGTCTTATAAACTGTCGAATACATCCATGTAGTTATCTTCTCCTGCTCCAGGCTCTGCTTCATGCCCTGCCCCCTCCCCTCTATCCATCTTGTCTTTGAAGGTAAATGGGGATCCATTTGTCTCTTGGTCACATGACGCAGAGACAGGCCTATGAAAAGGATTCCATAATCTGCACTGGCCCAGATTACAGCGCTAATCCAGTTCAAACTGACTCTGCCCACCACTGAGCTGTGTGCTGGGATCTGCATGCACCATTATAAGCTACACCAACATAGCTGGGCTCAGGGATTTCAAAATAAGTCCTGAAACACTCAACATCAACTCACTGTCCCCTCCACTATAGCCGAACAGCAAACAGAGGGCAGTCGTATCACATTCTATCCAAGCGGCATTCTGTCGGCGAAATGCTGAGCTAAGATTTCAGCCCACAGAAGGGCCGGTATCAGCACAGCAGAAGAACAAAAAGATTTTGCATATAATTGAACTAGAAAAGCAAAACAAAACACATTAGATGTGAACTATACGAATATGACTATGCAAATAATTAATACAGCAATCTATTAATATACTACTGTCAGTAATTACTACTACTGTATGTCCAATTACATCGAAATAATGATTCATCAATATAAAAGCCCTGCAACACAGCAGGTAATTGCAGAATGTTTTCTACAAACATCTTTTTTCCCTAGCTGCTGCAAGAAGTGTTCACATACGTTTAATTTCACCATTAGTCCATCTATATCTATATTAGCAAGCTAAAAATATATGATCAGTTAAACCACAAAATGAAGATTAATGCAGTACAGTGGACTTCCAAAAAATGCTCAAAGGAAAAGCCTTTTATGTGGGATAAATACTAATGTGTCAAAAAAGTCAAACAAGTCATTACGAGTCGAAAAACAGAAAACATATTTAACAGAAAATTACACCGAAGCCTCAACAACTAACCTTATTTTTTTCAGTATTATGTGTGTCCACACTTTGCCCTTATTGCAGCTTCCATCCTTTTTGGGGGACTTTTATTTTTCCAAAAAAAACAGCGGGGATATTTTTCCACACTTTCAAAGTTCAGTCAGACGTTGGTTGTTTTTTTTTGCCTCTCATGATCCAAGTAATCCCAAACACATTCAATGATGTTGAGATCCGGACTCTGGGGTGGTCAGGCCATTGTTCTATGAAAACAAGCAGCTTCTTTGTTGGATTCGCAAATTTACTTGTTTTTTTTGTCAATTTTGTTTTCTCAGTAAGAGCTTCTTGACAGCTACACATCCTTTCAGGCTCCTAGTGTTGAGTTGTCCTCTCACAGTGGAAGGATGGACAAAAACTGACAGATCTGAAGAAAGAATGGAGCTTGATTTTCTTCCCTTTCTTAAAGATGAAAACTTAAAAATCATTTATTCGATGGGGACAGTTCTGGTAGTCTACCAGGTCTTGCATGGTTGTTAGGAGTCCCATTTTCTCTACCTCAGAGGTTTTCAACCTGTGGGCTGTTGCTAATTGCTTTGTTTTTTTTTCCCAAACCATTTTAAATATGACAAATATTATTATTGTGATAATTATTTGCAAAAAAATATATGTGTCAAGTTTGTTGATTTGTCTGGCAAAATGCATGACCAACAAAGATGTAAATAGCTAGCTAGCTATGTTTATATTTTCAATGCAAGTCAACGTAAAATGTTTCTCTTTTTGACAATACTGAATTCACATTGGATAAATGGTTACAAATACATTTTTTCAGAAATGTTTGGTGTTCATTATGTTGCGTGATTATACAGTCAAGTGAAAATATATATGCTACATTGTGTTATATTTGTTAGCCTTTCAAATGATGGGGTCGGTTGAATCTAGAATAATTCTGTTTCTTGCATTGTTTTATTTCCTGCAACATGACAGCCTGTGTTACTTCTCCTTCTAGAAGCCTTACATGGTATTATTCAGATTCTAATGCAACACTTTTATATTATTCTCTAGCATCTGTACTTCAAAAGAAAGTCCTACCAGAATGCTGGATTTTTTCCTGTTATACCAGCTTTCAGTTGAAACAAAATGCAGTAATGCCTTAACATTGTAATGCTTTAACATATGGCGCTTCAGCAGTGCTGCTGCTGTTTATAGGTGTACAAACTCCCGGATATTTGCCTTTCAGACAGGTCCTTGATGGCTTGTAGCCAGATCATACATCACTCAGTTTTCAGATTGCATAACAAAAGGTATGTACACACGCACAGACACTGAATACAGGCTTTGACACACCCACGGTGTTGTCCGCCCCAACTGAGGGCATGATCAAATTTGATTGCGAAAATTCTTTCCCAACTATGAATTTGGATTGCATGCTTACCGCTTTATAGCAAGCCTGAACACATCACTGACAGTTACAAAAGAGGCGATGAGGAAAAAGGGACGGCCCGTCTCCTCTCAAACTACATACCCAACTTCTTCATTCAGGTCTAGTTCTGCTTTAAAGGAGAAGTGGGCATTGCAAGAGGAAGTGAAGCACAATCACATCATTGTTTTTACTCAGTCATTTCTCTAATAGTGCAAATTACTGGTCACTACCAGTTTCTGAACCCTCTGTTGACCCCTTAATAGTCAGCATTTGCAAGGTGCCAGTAAAGATACAGCGGAATACAATGTCAGAAATCACTGTCTGAATCAACAACTGAAAAGTGTAAATACAAGAAAGCAAGAATGGTTTGCTCTAAACATGCTCCCTCAACATATTAAGATGTTTTTTCCCCTCCAAAACTGGAATCCGTATGACTTCCATTTAGGGGAGGAACAACACTCCATCCAGGAACAAAGATAGCCCTTAAAAGGTCTTAATACACCACAGCATCTAATCAATTAGCACATTATTCCCAACACACCGTGTCACATGACTGGCCCAAAATAAGAATCATGGGATGTGGTGCAATTCCAAACAAATCGCTACATGGCCAAGGATATGCTGACCCTCTAAGGTTCATCAGTGATGGCTTGGACAACGTCCTGCAACAAGCCATCACAGGGTGGCAGAAAAGGTCAGTGTAACATGCAACCTTTCAATACACCAAGCATTCATGCCAACTTTGGTTCGTACCATTTAAAAGGAGGAGCATGTCAGCTGTGCTTCCCTTTTGAAAGATGATAATGAGAACTATTATGAAAAGAAGATAAACCCATTTAACAATGGATTAAGCAGAGAACATTTTACAACTAACTGAAGATAGCTTATGGCCTGCAGTAGCATTCTTTTGTCTTACAACTCACACTATCCATAAGCCTCTGAAGTCATTTCTTCATTCTGTAGTCAGCGCCATGCTCATATCAGGAGCTCCTAATTCCTAAGGTTTAAGCTTGTTTTCTCTTTGAGAACAAATGACATTTTCTAAAACTGCTGCTATTACGCTCTGTGGTAAACTAAAATGTTCCAAAGCTGATACGTTTTACCGTATGTACATTTTATTTTTAGAACAACAAACTATGAAGTCGCTAAGCAGTCAAAATATGAAAACTGCTACATGCAAGCTAACATGGCTGTGCATCAAACTGACACCTTAAGAGTGACAACCTCACCAAAACACTCCACGAAATGACGCTCTGGCAGTCACAGTTTGAGTAGCCGGTGTTGGTATATAGTGACTTACTTTCATGTGTCATAATTTCTTTGCAGAAGTACTGCTTGCTTGCAGCATGTATTCATATTTTGACTGCTAAATGACCTCATAATTCCTGTGATACTCGGGGGAAAATGTACAAAAACAAAAACGTTATCAGATTTGGAACATTTTTGTTTACCACAGGGTGCAACAGTCATGATTTTCAAAAGCAGCGTCCCATACAGAAAATCTCCCTAGATCTGGAGTTCCAAATATGGACATGCACTGACTACAGAATGACACATGAATTCAGAGGTCTATTGAGGACAGCTGCCACCAATAGCAACTGATACTATATCACCCCCCCCACCCCCCACCCCAAAAAAAAGTTAACAATGGGTTACCAGCAGCTGTATCACCTCCGCCACTCACATTTGTGATGATATAGCCGGAGGAAATTTAATACATAAAGAACTGGCAGCAAAATCTTTGTTGGCTAGCAAGGTGTTTTGTTTGTGTTGTCGATTATAGCCCGGAGTGAATGAGGTCGGTGTTCAATTAAAATTAAGTTAAACATGTTGGAATGGCACTTGCAGTTTGTACAACATTTTGTTGCGCAAATGGTGTCTCCTCTCTTTGTGAAACTCTCATGCTAAAGGTAGGAATGATTTGTGCCTTCTCGGTGAGTCAGGCTGCCAACCAACTCATGGCAAACCTAACACCACCAAGGGGAAGAGCCTGAAAAAAAGAGCCTGAAGATAAGAATAATTTGTGGAACACTCCTTGTATGTCCCTAGTTCCACTAACCAACCAATTTGTCATACAGGTGACACACAAAGAAGACTTTACTGGCTCCTCCACACGAGACCCAACATTTCAGATGTTGCTGCACAGTCCATCTCTGTGGTATGATGATCAACACAAACTCTAGCATGATTAACTTTCTATTTTTGATGTTAGATGCTTAACCATTAACTAAAGCGTTCCTCCTTAGTCTACTTTCACAATGCACAGTGCATATGCACATCAGGCTTCATGCCTGCTTTAAACAAGTTAGTGAACAGATACATTCGTACGATGTAAGAAAATCATTCTTATTTTCTCTCTCTCTCTCTCTTAGAAAACCATTTTGCGACATATTACACTCCAAACCTTGTTAATGTAGGACAGTAATTTTGAACAATTTTAGTATGCTGAAAAGCATGGGTTTGTGACTCTGGAAAATTAATTTCTATTCTACAGACTCCACTGGGCCATCCTGTTTGAGCATAAGGACGTCCATGGCAGCAGATCACA